AAACACTAATCAAAACCTTGAAATTAGTTCAATAAAGTGACATAAATTAAAAAAGTGATTAACACTTAAAAAAGTAACAAACACTTTTTATAGTTTCTTTCCAATTCCTTCTTTTAATTTATGATATTGATTCTTGATGAGTCTGCTTTATGTTCTTGATACGGAGAGGGAGAGCCAAAAAAAAAAAAAAGTGACAGCTAATCATCAATTATTGAATACTCTCTAATGTCATTTTCATGTCCTCGCTTCATCACATCTTCATCTTTATCATCCTCAACAAGACTACACTTATGCATAGAACAAGCAATAAGTTAAATTCATTAATCCCCAGTTGCGTCTTCAATCTTTTGTTCTTCGCAATGTTTTGAAGATGTGTCAAGTCTCAAAATGGTCGACAATACCTCAATAGGAACATAAATCTAGTTTTTCCTTTTCAATTAATCCAGGAAATGACACACAATCCAAAACTGTTTGACCATGTACTTTATACTGGATAGAATCCAATCATCTGAATCTAATTCCAACTTGAACACTAGAAAAAGAGATGAAGATATCACCACCACATTGAAGACGAGAGTAAGTATTATAAGGTCATTTCCACCTACTGCCTTCTAATGGAACCATACATGGAATTTACTGCTCATACTATGAACTTTCAATTATTATGTTTTTTGGGCTTTACGCTAACCAATGGCTCTTTTTAAGAGAATCAAAAGCTGCAACTTTGTTTTCAATCAGAGTATGATTATACACTTGAATATTCAAAGAAGACTTGATTTGGAGCAAATCTATACGCATAATTTTCAGAACAAAATACTAATTAGATATTTGATTAATGCAAACACACTAGAGATGAACATAAAGTCCAAGTAGGAACATCAAATGTGCAAGTAAATAGCTTGGACATAAATTCAGGTGGAACAAAGTGAACCAGGAATTGGAAATATGAATCAACAATGATGTATTTGAGGATTAATGAAACTTTACTTTTCTAGCATTATAAGTATATTATTCATCTACTTTGAATGTGAAGAACCCATAATTAAATATCGCAAATCTCATTTTTATTGCCTGTGTTTCAAATCCATTTTCATTCCAATTGATAAATAATCTAATCAGTACATCAAATCCACAAATAATTTGCATGTACCAACCAATCAATAGTTTAGATTCATCATGGCTTAGAATTGGTGCTGCAAAACTTGTAGTATTCATCGTAATAAACGTCCCACGCACGCCTTACGCATTTGCTACCGTAATAGTTCCTCAATAGTGGCTTTTCCAACAGCAATGCTGGCAGAATATTTGATTTTGACCTTCGGTTTTCTGATCCCTTCTTCACCTCGTCTTTGGTTTCAATATTGGGCTCTTGAATGTCCTTCTTATAGGCCATTGTACCGTTTTCAATTAAAGTGAAATTATGGGTAACACAAAAGGGCTTCTGGTGATTGAATATGAATTGATATGGAGCTGCAACGAAAACAAAAGTTAAGCGTATTAACTATGGTTATGTGAGGTTTAATTTATTTTAATGTATTAATCTAAATTTTTTTTCCATTTTTAGTGTATTTGGTCTAATTTTCTCTTTCTAATATACCCAGCCCAAATAAATTTAACTGGCCAAAAATCAATCTAGACCCAGACCAAAAATGAGAATATAAAAAATTGCATGTCCCAAACTCTAAGTCAACCTGCAATTTCATCTCTCCTTCCTACCTTCTTTGCAAATTTTCCTTCTCATCGACCTTAAATCCAGTTGTCGATCGCTTCTGGCTTCGACAGCACATGTCCCGTTTTCATTAAAATTATAATACATTTTTTTCTTTCTTCTTTCCAATCACACATTCTCCAGTAAAATAATATTACACATATATTGAAAACTTTTCTTTCTTTTTCAACCACTCATTCTCCCAAAAAATATTACTCCAAAAATTATAGTACAAAAGAATGGGGGCCAAACGAGGGTGTAATTTTTTTTAACTTTGACAGCACATGCTTATTGTTTCCTATAGTGTTAACTTTAACATTGTGCTATTCCATAATTGTCCTTAATTGTCAAATGATTGCTGCCACATTAAACAATATCAAACTTACTGTCAACCACAATGTACATGTAGCAAAACTCTTTTTTGTTTTCTACGTATAAGGCTGGCTGGAGGAGAACCAACCATTTTGGTCCAGTTCATTTTCCTCCTCATGTATGTAGCTTGCTTCAAAAGGAAAAATAAAAGTGGCATTGATGCAAAAAGAATAAAAAAAATAGCAAGTTTCTTAAAATTCAGAACATTGTCATAAATCAGAAAAGACAGTTATGGAAATGCTTATGTTTGACAAATGGAAGCACACAACCTAAAGAATAGCACACTATTAAAGGTAACGATATAGAGAACAATAACTTGCGTGTGCCGAAGTTACAGAAATTACCTGTGTTCTCGTAGACAAGAGTGATTGAAAATCAAATTTGAGGTTGATGAGAATGAAAATCGAGAAGAGGGTAGGAAGGAGAGAAGAAATTGCAAGTGGATTTATGGTTTGAGACAAATGGTGTTTTATCTTGTGAACAATACATAAATCCTACATA